CAAGTTGAGATTGACCTTATTATTGCTCATATCAGCAAGTCAAGTATTCAGGAAGAACTTTATGCAAGTTTAAAAGTTTGTTCTACATTTTTTTTTAAGAAATTAAAACTTACATTCACAAACATTGTATTAAATACATTCCCTGGCCACTTTATTAGTAACGGGTTGAACCCCCTTTTGCTTTCAGAACTGCCTTAATCCTTCATGGTGTAGATTCAACAAGGTACTGGTATTATTCCTGAGAGATTTTGGCCCATATTGACATGATAGCATCATGCAGTTGCTGCAGATTTGTCGGCTGCACATCCATGAAGCCAATCTCCCGCTCCTCCACATCCCAAAGGTGCTCTATTGGATTGAGATCTGGTGACTGTGGAGGCCATTTAAGTACAATGAGCTCACTGTCATGTTCAAGAAACCAGTCTGAGATGATTCACGCTTTGTGACATGGCATGTTATCCTGCTGGAAGTAGCCATCAGAAGATGGGTACATTGTGGTCATGAAGGGATAAACATGGTCAGCAAAAATACTCAGGTAGGCTGTGGCATTGACACAGTCCTCAATTGTTTCTAATTGTTTCTCCACACCATTACACCACCACCCTGACCCATTGATTCAAGACAGGATGTATCCATGCTTTTATGTTGTTAATGGCAAATTCTGACCCTACCATCCGAATGTTGCAGAAGAAATTGAGACTCATCAGACCAGACAACGTTTTTCCAATCTTCAATTGTCCAATTTTGGTGAGCATGTGCCAATTGTAGCCTCAGTTTATCTGTTCTTAGCTGACAGGAGTGGCACCTGATGTGGTCTTCTGCTGCTGTAGCCCATACACCTCAAGGTTGGATGTGCTGTGCGTTCAGAAATGCTCTTCTGCATCGGTTGCAATGAGTGGTTATTTGAGTTACTGTCGCCTTTCTATCAGCTCAAACCAGCCTGGCCATTCTCCTCTGACTTCTGGCATCAACAAGGCATTTGCGCCCACAGAACTGCGGCTCACTGGACTTTCTCTTTTTTGGACCATTCTCTGTAAACCCTAGAGATGTTTGTGTGTGAAAATCCCAGAAGATCAGCAGTTTCTGAAATACTCAGACCAGCTGTCTGGCACCAACAACCATGCCATGTTTAAAGTGACTTAAATCACCTTTCTTCCTCATTCTGATGCTCGGTTTAAACTGAAGCAGATTGTCCCAATGCCTAAATACATTGAGTTGCTGCCATGTGATTGGCTGATTAGAAGTTTGCATTAACAAGCAGTTGGACAGGTGTACCTAATAATGAGGCCGGTGAGTGTATGCTAAAAAATAACAGCCAACGGCTTTCAGCATTCATTTAAATATGTATATTTTTGACCAGCAATCCAGTATATCAGAATATGAACAAAACCTGAATTAAAAGTGTGGAAAATATACTTTGAAGACTACATATAATTGAAGCAAATGTTATGCTGATGGTACTTACTATATGAGGACAGTCTCTGGTGTCTATGAGGACCTGGTAGTACGTGTGCATTTTACCCTTCACCTCTTTGGATCCATGACCTGTAGAGTCTGGCTTACTGAAAAAAAAAAAAAACACAGGACAAACAGGATCACTGAGCTGAATCACAAACCAAAGCATTTAATCATGCATAGGCCTAAAAGACCCTCCACTACATACCTGTCAGTGGTAGCAGGACTCACATCGCGATCATAAAGACGAGCGTGCCACGGGAATAACACAATTCCTCTATATCCAAAAACACTGTGCAGGAAGAGCTGCGGAAAATTACAACTGGATGAGTAAAGTTTGTCCACAAAGCCAGATGGAGGCTTGAGATAGAAGTCATTTTAAAAGAATTATGTTTTAAGGTTTTGAAGGATAGCGATTGCAAATGTATTTGTGGTGGTGGCAAGGGTGTTGCCAGGGTAAGATTTAGCACACTAATATGGATGGCAATCGAAACAATATCTGACTATGAGACAGACTATGATCTGACATAAGAAGACTATGTCAAGGCAGAAACTATAAATGTGTTTCTTTAGTATGTGAAGAAATACAGTTTAAGAAACCAACGTTTTTCAAGTCAATATGGTGTTGGATGCTTACAAACATTTAACATAATATCATTATGATACACAACTAAAATGAAAATGAAGCTTGTATATCTTATATGGTCACATACGGAAATGTAGTCTCATTTAGAGCAGTTTCATTGTCTTGTTAACTGTCATACTGTGTGTGCTGCTGACACAATTAAATTGCACTTTTTTTAAAAGGATCCACTCAAGCGAAAATTCTGGATGCACTTGACCAAAAACAAAAATCTAAAAATGATTCGGAATATTTATTTATTTTATAAAGTAATTTTGTACAATTTAACTCAATATTCTAACAAAAAAAAAAAACCCTCAGACCAATAAAATAACTACATTTTATCAACAGTGACAAAAATCAGACAGAAAAAAATATAGTGGCCCAAAAGTATTAGCACACTTTGCATATTTTAGAAATTGTAATATATTTTAAAGTATATTGAGTGAGACAGCATAATCTAGTCAACAGTGAGATTCGCTGCTCTTAGTTTGGTTGGCACAGCAACAAACCGGCTTGCGTGAGGCACGCCATTGAAATTACAGGGACTCATGGTGCGGTGCAGTGCTTTTCATGTCTGCTGTGAAAGTCACTTCGCACAGTGACTACAGCTGGACAAATTGTTTTTTTTTCGGCTCACATTTTCAGGAAAATTTCTCAGGAAAAGACTTTAGGACACACCTGCCTTCCATTCATCAATGAAGTGTTTACAAGACAAATTTTAAACTAAAACAGACATATACGTTCTGGCATATCATTTACACAAAAAACAGCATTATGGGAGTTTGAGAAATGCAACTTTCAGAAACAGGTTTTAAATTAATTTGTTTTTAAACAATGCCAACATAAATGGTGAATGGTAATAAACTGCTATCTGCAACAATATAGAGTTCGGATCCCAAACATCATTTGCATTGAATAATTATTTACCATCATAAAACCTTATACCATAAATCAACATTAATTTGTTCCCTAAATGTGCTAGCCAATTTCATAGTAATAGACAGTTATAGAACATCACAAAGCAGCAGTGCAAGTCCAGCATGTGCAATACAACTTTTTCCCCCACCGGAATGCCATTGCCATTCCATTAGTAGCTGCTTCTTCTTAAAGTCCCTATTAGTTTTAGCATTAAAGTAAACTTTAAAATCTAAATTTCAGTCTTAGAATAATAAAAATAATACTACAGAGTACTCAAAATGGGTTTTCATATTAAAAAGACAACTGACCTGTCCTGTTTCATATTTCCCATGCTGCTTCAGGGCTTCAAATACTCCAACAGCTTCCAGTATTTTCCCCTCTGGTCTGTTTCTGTCAGGTAAATACATACATACATACATACATACATACATACATACATACATACATACATACATAAATTGAAAATAAATTCTACAACCTAGTCAGCTTTTCAACAAAAGATTGAATGGGTTTTCAACAAGACTGAATAGGCTATTGCACAACATTCAGGAGATTGGGACCAAGACCACATTGAACTTGAAATTTTTGTAGTACACTAAACTAAACAGACAGAGGTGTGCTGACCACAGAAATAGAACTTGTTTACCGTCTACTGGCTCCGGCCCAGACTGACACTTATGTAATCAAGAATGGCTTTGGGGGGTTTGGAAGAAACGCTGAGGTTTGTAGGCCTCAATTTTGTATATTGGCATTAATTCAATTATGATGCCTTTGTATAATTCTACTCAAAACCCGTGTGATCAGCACTTTAAATTTCAGAAACTTAGCAAAAAACAACTTCACTGTTTAGTGTTCAGCCACAGTCACTGAGACAATATGGCAGTTGTGCTGCAAGCATGTGAAGCCTTCAAACTACAGGAACAGCTTACATTACACAAATGACAACTGACATTTCATTACTAATCAACACGAATGCATCTGACAGATATATTATAAAGACATTTACGGTGGAAATAGATAGCTGAAAGTACAGCTCTGCGCAGTTATGTAACAGGAGGACATGCTAGGACGTTCGCTTTAATAGTTCTTACCGAGATGACATGAACCTCGTCTGTTGAAAACTGGACGAGCCGCAAGATGAACACAGCGACTGGGGTCTTTTCGGATCTAACCCGCTGTTGAAGTCTATCGCACTTAATATTCTGTGAGTGCATTTGTGCTGGTTATATTTACTTGCAGTGGACAATAAGCCCCGACGTATTGCACACGCTGCCATCTTCCTTCAGCTATCGGCACATGAACACACGGGTGCAGTCAGTATCATTTGTTTTCAAAACCCAAAATCATATTCTAAACCCACACAATTCAGAAAGATTGAAAAACTAAAGTTTGAAATTACATTTAAATGAGTTTGGACCCTTTTATTGCAATATTGAAGTGTACAAAGTCGCACACAATTTCCCATAACGCACCGCGACCGGAAGTTGTCGGCATAAGTTACAACACAAAGGTCATAGCAACATTTATTTATTTGTGATATATCAGAATGACTACGATATAGGGAAGAATACAACTTATGATATTCAATTAATGATTTTATTGTTGAAATTTCATATACATAAATGAAGTGTTTGCGTGGTAAGCCAATTTTTAACAGTAACGTTATAAGTTAGCATATGAATCAAAAACGAATTTATAATAAGAAAGGAAAGAAAGAAAGAAAGAAAGAAAGAAAGAAAGAAAGAAAGAAAGAAAGAAAGAAAGAAAGAAAAAAGTAAGATCGTTATTAAGATGAGAGTTTGTGGTGATTTTTTTGTGGTGATTTATCTTTGTGGATAAATATCTTGGCATGTCAATAATTAAAAAAACAAATATACACATGATTCTACATTGCTGTAAAACGGTAAATAAACTCCCTAACAGTGGGCGGCGGTATGTGCACAGCTGGTCTGTTCTGCAACCAGCCAATAAACACTGAAGTAAAACAAGAAATCAGCTGACAGGCAGGACTGAAAATACACAACATTCTCAATTCAAGATAAACGGTTACACTTAAACGGAGATTACACTCAACATCAACTGTGACGTTAAGTTGATTTAAGCTTCTTCAGGACAATGGTAAGAAACTAAAATTTCATTGACAAATCCAAAATTTTAAGCACTTTAAGCAAAAACGAACTTCGTTGAGTATGATGTGTTTGTAGGACACCCAGTGCATCTTCACGAGCTGTTTGAAGACAGCACCCTTCATCTTCCAGAAGTCATCACACCTCCAAGAGTAAGTGTGAATTTTGCAATTCTTCTTCTTCTTGTTTTAACTAGGATTTTGCAATGATATACACTAACTTTAATATAGGCCCATTACGAACGTCACATGTAGCATCAACCATGGCAAGCCATTTTGACATTTAACCTACAAAACGTACTAGTATCTATTTTCATGCTTCTAGTGCTTGTTCTTTACATATGAGAACTTCGTTACATGTGGGTTTTTGTACATTAAGTCTTATTGATATTAAATGAATACTAGAATATTTAAGTTATTTATTAGATGCTAACTTACTGTTTCACATATTCTATACTTTTGTAATTATTTTTTTATATTTTGTAATTAATTCTGCTAAACAATTCGTATCTTACTGGTTGTTACTTTTTAAACTCATATTCTGTCATGACTAGTCAAAAACGGCCGCTGTACAGTTCAATTAAAAGTTATTAGTGAATATTTGAAATAAGTAATAGCATATAATAAGTGTGTACTAGTACTTGCTGAATTGAGTTACTAATGAATAAGTACTAAAGTCTAATGAATAAATTCTTGTATTTAATAAATAAAGAATTGGCATCTATGTACGTTGTAAAAGAGTATCTACTAAGTAGTATATAATGATTAAGTACTAGTATTTAATGTGTAAAAATTTTGTTTTAAAAGTTCCTAGTTCCCAATGAACTACTTGAACATAAAAATTAGTAACATACTAGTCTAAAATGAAGAGTAGATATCTCAATGACAGATCTCCATAGAGGTCAATGGCGGAAATGTGAAATTAATTATTAATTTATTATTAATAAGTAGTAGTATATAATGATTTAGTATTAATATACATTAATCGGTGCTACACTGTAAACAAATTATGACAAAAAGTCATGACAACAACTATTTTGTTACCTTTTTAAACTAATTTTAATCAGGTTTCAACAAATATTTTAGTTATACAAAGTTGAACACTTTAATGTACAATTCATGCTATTAATAATCCATTAACTAAGACGTTCAGCTCAATAAACTACCAATTAGCTGTTTATTAATAGTCATTAAGGTAATAGTTAGGTTTAGGTATTGGGTAGGATTAGGGATGTCTAACAAGATCATACTTTTATATTTGCTAATAAACAGTTAATATTTTAATAATAAGCAGGTAATAAGCCAGTAGTAAATGGTGTGAATTGACACTTAAACTAAAGTGTTCCCCAAAATTGTTTTAGTCAGTTTACTGATGTAAGTTTTGATTCAGATCAGTTGATTCAATTAAAAATCGGCAGCAAGATTTTTTTTACAGTATAATATCTCATAAAGAATATTAGTAATGTACATTTTAAAAAGATACTAGTAACTTAAAGTGATAGAAATGAAAATTGTCATCATTTACTAACAGTTTGAGTTTCTTCTGGTGAATATAAAAATTGATTATTTAAGAGAGTTGTAAGCTTTGACTTCAATAGTATTTGTTATTCCTACAATGAAAGTCAATGGTTACAGGTTTTCAGCTTTCCTCAAAGTATCTTCCTTTCTGTTCAATAGAAGAAAGGAACTCCTATAGATGTTTAAACAATAAAAGGAGAGTAAATAATGATTACATTTAAATTTTTGGCACTACTTTGTGAAAAGTAACCATTACTGAACAAAAAATTGGAAATAATCATTTATTGGACATATAATCCTAATCCTACCAAATGCCAAAACCTAACTATTACCTTAATAACTGTTAATAAGCAGCTAAAGCATGTTTAAAACATCTAGCTTGTTTGTGCATTACCCCAAGTTGTGATTAAGCAGATATTTATTTCAATCCAATAGAACCCTCAGCTGGTGGCCCGTCTCGAAAAAATTAAAGCAAAACTGGCCAATGAAGAATATAAGAGAATAACACGGAACGTAAATCCACAGGTGAGCATTCGTCTACAGCCAAATATATCCTTAACATTTTTCAGTCTGTCAGTAGATTTCTTAATATGCTGTTTTACTCAACAGGAAATGAATCAACATGGAACTTTAGCAGACTTTGGAAGACAAGGTCAGGATGTTCCCCTTTCTTTGCTTATTAGTAATCTGTTTCCTCTGTGTTGTTGTTCATCTTACTTGTCATTTGTGGTTTGCAGTACGCTCCGTGAAGGCTGTTGTTGTTACTGTATTCAATTTCCTGGTAACTGTAATTGCAGCATTTGCCTGTTCATATCTGGGCAGCCAGTATATCTTCACTGAGACGACAGCAGTAAGTTCACATTTAAATCACTGCAGAGTCAAGAAGTGTTTTAAATACCTATTCTAAAATACGCATAATGTCTCTGTATTGTTTTTTTTTATTTCAGAGAGTAATAGCTGCCGTTATTGCAGCATCTGTTGTCGGCCTTGCTGAGCTCTATGTTCTGGTCCGGACTATGGAAGGAGATCTTGGAGAGCCCTAATAGTGACTAATATTATTAAATATTTCCAGTTTTTGTTGTTGTTAACTTGTTTCACCATACAACTGTTTTAGTTTCTTGTTTTCTTCCGAATCAAAACCCTGCAGCTTAACAAATCAATCTTGATCTAAAAATTTTATCTAAAAGATCACATTTATTAGTAAAATAAATTACACACACACACACCAGACTATACATTATTCATATTACTGTCTAGTTTTTCCACAATTCTAGTGTTTGTATTTATTTTTTATTCCTTCATGGACATTATTTCTTTAAAGCGACATGATTGTAAATGATTTGTGCTTGGATGTTTATTGTGACTGACTCCCTAGAAGTAGTGTGGAAAAATGTGATTAATAAAATAATAAAAGAATAAAAGAATGCTTAAGTCAACAGCATTTAAAAGAAAAAAGGGAACATTTATTAAATCACACACCCTGGCAATGCTCACTTTGATAGTCCAGCTTTGTTGAACCAGGTTTACAGCATTTGCTGTTAAAATGCAGATCCAGTGCTTAATGTATATTGTGTACTGTACGTTCTGCACATGCAGCTGTGTAGTTGAGCTTTGGCAAAGTCTCAAACCAGTAAAAAAGACAACCAGAAACGTGCAACACAAAATGGCTTTTAAAGCCATGCTCATGCCACTGAAAATTATAGAACAAAAGGCAAAACAGTTATAAAAAAACTAAAACAAATGTGCCTATCTGAGAACAAAAGATATATTGTAACTTATTTCCTGTACATATCTATTTCTATCATTCATTAGTAACTATGCAATTCAATAACAGTCTTTATCTTTTTAAAATGTCTCCACAATCCACTGAGTTGAAGATGTTAATTAAACCCCAAAATGGAAGTTCTGCTATCATTTACTCGCCTTCAAAATAAGACGTCTTCTGACTTAGAAATACAAGAGCATGAAGAAATCTGAGTGACTTCTGTCCCTCCATTGAAAGTCTATTCATTCAGCATTTTTATACTCGTCATTCAGAAATAGATTGACAAAAAACTTTTAATCAACAAACCTGTTTGTTGTGCAAGATAATGTTTGAGGGGAAAAACAACAAAATTAACAAAGAAATGCCGCCCAAATTTAAAATAAAGTAGTATAAAGCCCCTGGACAAATAAACGACACTATTTGCATTTTCGCATTTGAAAACATGTTGATCTGAATCCCACCATTACATTCTAATATGTGCACATTGCATTACAAACCAATCACATACGTTTCCGTGCAGATTATGAATGCAGTAGCCAATAAGAAGAGGCAATTAGTGAGCGCCGAGAAAACCTTGAGTTTGGTGAGTGCGCGTGCTCACTGACTGAATTTTGCGCGCCTGTGTTTCTCATCATAAACGAACAGAAATAAAGTAAGTAGAAAATTGAACTTAAGGTTTTTTTTTTTTGTTTTTTTTTGGATAACGTGTGTTACTAATGTAATTGACCGACGCGTTTTTTAAAAGAAAAGGCGTGAAAACGCCTGAAAAAGCGTGCTGACGAGATGAGCATGCTGACTAAGTAACGTAGGTCTACCTATATTTTACTGTGCCTATTCGTGGATATTAATGGTAATTATAAATATAACGTATCAAGAGCAACTTTATTGTTATCGCACTTTTAGGCTACTAGTTCCTTTGAAATTGATTAATTTGATGGTAATTATATTTTTTTGTTTACTGTTATTCTGATTTATGTAGGCTAATGGGCTACAGTATATGCACAGCTAGTGTTTTTCAGCCAACTGTAAACCTCCAGTGAAAGGTTAATGTGACTATTTTAAATTTAAGGTTCCTACACCATCGATATCATAATATAATTAAAATACAATCAGTTAAATAAACTTAAGCATCCGTTTAGTTGTTCAAGCATAACACAAGACGATAGACCGTGTAAACTTTTATCAGTGGCAGCAGGCTATAGCGCAGAAATTCAATTGAAAATACTGGCATCAAATAAAATTTCATATTTTAAAGAGATGGCATGGAAAAAAATGGAATTTAATGCAGTGCTTTTTGTCCGGTGTGAGACCCACTTTATATTGTATATCTATCAGGCTGTGAAGATCACTTATTTTTTAAAGAAATCAGATCTTAAACATGGCGATTTTTTAATGGAAAGACAGTTCACCAGGAGCCATTAGGCTGGCTTTCTGAAAATTAAAAATCTGTGTGCATATACCCCATTGGTTGTTTTAGTAACGATAACAATAATTAATCAGTAAGGCAATTTTAGCAATGAATGAAACGATAATAGAAAGTGTCCTTATGAAGGTTAAAATGCCCTGGAAATCAATTCCAGGGGGCAAATATTGCCCCTTAATAGAAAAATAAATTTCTGACCCTGGCCAGAACAAACATCACGTGACATGCAAGAATGAACCTCATTGGTTGTCTTGTGTTGAGCAAGCATTTTTGAGCTTCCATGACCACATCTATGTAAATAAAATCTTAAGAGTAAATGTCAGGATTTGGGGTAAATCAGTTTTCATTAAAGGGACAGAAACCTGTCAGATAAATGAAAGTCTCACAATTCTGAAAAAAACATGAGCATGAGTAAATAATCACAGAACTTCTGTAGTGAACCAGCCCTTTAACTTCATGCTATTTATTAATAAACCAGGGCTCACAATTTCTATAAAGAGCGTGCCACACACAAAGACTGCATAAATAGTCGATGACCTTTTCTTGACTAAAATGCAACAGCAGAAGCGTCTGTCTGGCATGGGACATATTCCAACCCAAACCTTTAGTAACTACAGTTCAGTTTTGTCCAGCAGAGGGTAGTGCAGAGGCTGAGACCTCACTCGAACTTGCGCAAGTGGTTATATAGTGACTGGACGTAAGTAAAGACACACATGGGGTCTGGCTTTCTGCCCATCACCATCATGTCCTCCACTTCAATCAGCCTATCACAGCCAGCTTTCTTCCTGGAAATACAGAGAGAAACAGATTTAATAGGGCTGGACTTGTGCGGCTGTTTCTGGTCATCCTGCATATCTGTTGACTATTAATACGAGCAGTGTAATACATATGTTCAGATGACGTCGACAGTGTAGTTTTTGGTCTGTTGGAATATTTCAGGATGTGGGAATTGGAACACAGGGATGATGTCATTCTCCAGGCTGTCAGGTCTGAGTAGCCGAGTAGGGAAAGGGGAGGTTTTTTTGAGCTCCGCAGGGATTTGCTGGCATGCTTTACTGGTTTAAAGTGCAGGTTACGGACACTCTAGACTCAGACACATCGGAAACTAAGTAACTTTATCTCATGTGGCGTGCTGTGAGGTGATGTGCAGCACAACTGCGGATGATTTGTGTCAACTTTTATTTTAGATTCATTCTGTTCTGCTCGTTGGGTCGGGTCATGTTGAGTTTGCTTCTCAACTGTCCGGTCTGCTCCTATTAAAAGGCTTTTAATACTTTATTAGCGCTTTTAAATGAAAATGAATCTGCTGTCGGTATGTTGGTATGTCATTCTAAACTTGTATGTTGATTTGTTTTTTCCATTAAATGTAAAAGGAGATTTTTGAAGCATCTTTACTAAGCAGTTTTCATACACAAATGTTGTAGGACATTATTTTTGTTGCCTTTTGACAAGCTTTATGTTTTTTTGAGTACATGGTTTCTCAGTATTGGGTTGCAGTAGGGCATCCGCTGCATAAAACATACGCTGGAATAGTTGGTGGTTCATTCCGTTATGGTGACCCCTGATAAATAAGGGACTAAGCCCAAGGAAAATGAATGAATGAGTACATGGTACAAGTCAGTCAATAACAAAAAAGATGTAATGTTGTCAGACATGTTTATATTAACTTTTAGAAAACCAAATAGTAGTTTTTTTTGTGAGAAGTCTGAAAAAAAGGTGGAATAACCAAAATCTTAACTACTAACTAATTAAACTTTTTTATGAATTGTATATGCAAAAGTTAAATGCTCTAAATTATATTTTTGCTTGGAATTTGCAAGGAAGGTTACAGGATATTATTATATATTTTATTATAAAAATATTAAACAATTTAATCATACACACATAAATATTATTTTTAAACAAATAATTTATTATTCATTCATTTTCCTTCAGCTTAGTCTCTTTATTCATCAGGGGTCGCCACAGCGGAATGAACCGCCAACTTATCCAACATATGTTTTACACAGCAGATGCCCTTCCAGTACCAGGAAACACCCACACACTTTAACATTCACACACATACACTCAGGGGCATTTTTAGTGATTTAGGGGCCCTAAGCAATTCTCAGCCCACAAGTTTGTACTTTAATTTATTCTTAATTGATTGATTTATTTATTATAGTAAACTTAAATTTTTTTAGACCCTCGTCATACAAAATATGTTAGAAAATGATGCTATATATAATTTATAGGAATCATTTATACTTCTAGGTATTTATTTGGGGGCTCTTAGATTAGATTAAGGCTCTTAATTCAGCCCCAAGAAAAACACTACGGGCAATTTCATTCATTCATTTTCTTTTCAGCTTAATCCCTTTATTAATCAGGGGACGCCACAGCGGAATGAAATGCCAACTTATCCAGCATATGTTTTACGCAGCAGATGCCCAGCTGCAACTCATCACTGGGAAACACCCATACCCTCTTGTATTCACACACACTAATACACTACAGCCAATAGAGTTTATTCAATTCACCTATAGCGCATGTCTTTGGACTGTGGGGGAAACCGGAGCACCAGGCGGAAACCTACACCAACACGGGCAAACTCCACACAGAAATGGCAACTGGTCCAGCCGGGACTTGAACCTGCGACCTTCTTGCTATGAGGTGACAGTGCTAACCACTGAGCCACCGTGTCATCTTAATTTATTAATCTACTGTAGTCAATAAACAGTTGTCTCATGATTCATTTTCATTTATTAAAGCTTTTAAATCGCTTTTGAAGCTGAAAATGTAACTCTGCAGTTTAACAAAGTGACTTTTACTGACTTCTTCACACAGTCTGAAACTATTTAATTTATAAAAAATAAAATATATGAAAAAACTTTTAATAATCTCTACACTAAGAGAAAAAGTACAAGTAGCTCATCACGCTTTTAGTGCCATAATTTACATGACCAACCCAGACAAAACAATCATTTCAAACTATTTAAAATGTCAATAAAAGTCAATATGTTAAAACACTTTATATTATAAATCTTATATGCTGATATGGTGCCTTAATAAATTATTATTATTGTTTATAAGTAGTTTTTAGTCAAACAGTTCATTCTGGACAATTAATTTTGCTATGGTGACAGGAAAACAAATGAAATAGTTGAAGAATCTGCTAAATACTTTTATGGAAACCATCATCATCTGCTAAACAGAAAGTTTATTTGAAATCTAAATCTTTTCTACTGCAACTTTTGATTCATTTAATGCATCTTTGGTGAACAAAATGATAATTTCTTTAAGAAACAGTTATACTTATAATTTTTTATCTACTCTTTTCAGTGTCCGATAGATAGAGAGATGATAGTAAGACAAACTCCTCAATATTAAGACAGCATTTTGACATCTCAGTGCTATTATCAAGAGGTGACTTACTCTGCAGTGCTGAATGCCAGCTCAAAGTTGTGTTTGCGCTCGGCAGGGGTCAGACCATTATAGTCAAACTCTGTGGGGAAGAAAGAGTGGACGAGGGCACAGAACGCCATGCCGTCACTCCAGCTGGAGGAAAAGTTCTGAATGTCGATGTTCTGCAAGAGAGAGCCAAGCGGTTATATTTCACATCACACTGGGCATTTGCACCAAATCATTCAACACAGTTAGATTCACCCAAATGTACTTTAGGATAAGTGTTCTTGCTTACGTCAAGTTGTGACTTTTATAGATCATATATCATGGTTATTAATCAGTGTTGGGTAAAAAGTAATATATTACAATTTTATGTGTACCTTATCTCTTTAAAAAAAGTAAAAAATGCAAATTGAAAAAAAAAAATAACAGCACATTTATATTCACATTGCGTCCTTAAAAAGTAACTAACACATTTAGTTGTTTGTTTTTAAAGTGACTACAGATTGTAATATATTACTTTTTTCTTAACACTGTTATTAATATACATTTCATTTTGTTGTAAAATTAAATCTATATGAAATCAATAAATAAGAAATATACATTAACTGAAATAAAATATATATTTTTAGCTTTAATATTACTAATTTTCCAGCTGGTTTAAAAGCATTTTTTCTCATTTCAGTTTGGTTTAATTTAATCTACCACAATAGCATAAAAATGACCTAGATAAACTGTATATAAAAAAATTAAATAAATAAAAAAACACAATAAAATGACAATAAATTTAACCAAAATTAAAATGGCAGACATATTACACTGAAACAAAACGTCATACAAAATCTACAGACATTAAAAAAATAAAAAAAAACAGCATAACAAATACTAATGAATACACCAAAACTTAAAATAAAAAGTAATCACGAATAAATGAATGCACATGATAAATATATAGATGAATACTGTATGCATATCTTTGTATTTATATACACACTGAAATTTAAAGTAAAATAATATAAAATAAAAATATTCCTAAAAAATAATCGCTGCTAATTAATAACCAAAATGACAATTTCAATTACACACACATTAATTCTTGTCAATTGAAGAATAAATCCTAAAACCTAAGGCCATAATAAATAAGAATAACAATAGATATGAAAAAGTATTATCTTCTGGCATTCAAGCAACAAAACAATAATAGCTTCCTCTGAGACTCTGCAGACCTGCTTGTGCTTGTCAGTGCAGTGTTTTATTGTTGTCTGTCTCTTATCATCAATGCTGGGTTTTTCTCTACACCTCATCATTTAACAGTGTTCAGTTCTCATCCATAGTCGGCTGATCTGACAGACTAAGGCAGTCTGTGTCATTGAAGGAAATTGAAATGGTCATGCGTGTTGTCAACTGTCTGCTCTGCTTCTAATGTTTACGTACTGCTTTCTCTCGACTCTAAATTGGGCTTGACCATTACATTACTATCTCTAACTAGAGCCACATGGGCTGCTTTCGCAAAGCAGCATTAGAGTGAAGCAGAATACACACACAGAGGAAGACTAATAACACACACTATATGTTTATTCATCTGGACAATGTTAACATAATGTTTGTTCATCTTATCGATGTTAAAGGTGCCATGACATGGTTTATTTCTTCTTCTATATTTTTCTTATATGTTCATTTAGGTCAACTTATTAATAAATCAAGTATTTTGTACACACAAAAAAACTAATATACATTCAGAAAAACTATGATTTTCAGTGCTGACCCTCTTGATAAAAAGACTTGTTATTAATGGACAGGTCGTTTAAATATTTTTAATATATGGTCAATGTTTTGATTGGCTAATGTGATTGTATTGTAAACAGCATTATTGTCACCACACTAATTGCTCAGTGTTGTATTGCAGAAAGTGTTTTGCCAAAATGATCTATGGAAATTTTAATTTACAGACAAAGCATTATGAAATGAACAACTTTTTGTAGTAACCTTATGCATCACAAGTACAATAGTACATACCTATCAACTTTGGGATGTTAAAATTAGGGTTACAGCCTACTACCCCCCTGTAAAGTGAATGCACTGTAGAAATTGTTTTATCTAGAAACTGCAGTCAAATGTATGTTTAAGTATGTTTTTGCAGTTTTATAAAAATGCTGACTCTGAAGCAATGAGCCTTTGTTGAAGCTTTAAAACTTGCAGGACGTTTTAATGGAACAAAACCCTCTTTTAGGTCAAAATATCAAAGTAAATTTGATTTCTTGTTGCTGAAGCTAATACAATTCTATTGTGATGACACCTCTCAGCGAGATATATTATGGAATGAATGTGTATATGGCAGTGTTGATGTGTTTAGTCTTGGTGACATAGATCTGCTACCCCTGAAAAAGCACAGGAGATTGCTAGTGCAATCAACACTACAGTATTCAAATGTTAATGAGCAAGCTTATTGGCTGCTGAGGTGGGAGCAAGCAATCTCTCGCTCTCTGTAGTTGATGATTGGGTTGGAAACAGATTGGTATCAACCTGTGTGCCCTTTGTATTATTACTTTACAGGAAGCGCTATTATGCGTGATAATCGTCATTCATATCAGCCTGAAATGTTATTAAATCATATGTGTGCAAGGCTCCTTCTTTCTGCTGGTTTGTCATAAAACCTATGATGTCTAGAGAATGTCATACCTGGTACCCAATGGTCTTGGATCGACACCATTCCAGTAGAATCTGCTTGATACTGCTAGCACTGGATACGCCAAAGCTCTGAGAGCGTTTCAGCTTTGGTTTGGAATCCACTGGCTTGGGCCGACTGAGATGTGGAAGATCAAAGCAAGAGGGTTTTATTTTTGCTCTGGATTACATTACAGAGCATTAAAAACAATCACATGTTTGAATTGACACACACTGGATGATTTCATTACCTGTTGTTCTCAGAGTCCAGCCTCTCAAAAATAGACCTTCGTGCCTGGGCTCCTATATTTCGAGGTAAAGTCTGGGACCTCACAAGTTCTCGTCTTCGCTCAATACCTCTGCCGAAGGATAAATCACCTGGCGTATCCACATTCCTGGAACAAGGAGATAGAGATGGCTGAGGAACAGTTCACTTCTGTGCTATTTTAATTCATTCATCCATTTTCCTTTGGCTTAGCCTCTATTTCAGAGGTTGCCACAGCAGAATGAACCACCAACAATTCCAGCACGTTTTATACAGCAGATGCCATTCCAGCCGCAACCCAGTATTGGTAAACACCCATAACATACTCATTCACAAATATACACTAAAGCTATTTTACCTATACCGCAAGTCTTTGGACTGTGAAGGAAACTGGAGCCCTCAAAGGAAACCCACACGATCATGGGGAGAACCTGCAAACTCCACACAGAAATACCAACTGACCCAGCCGGGACCTGAACCAGCAACTTTCTTGCTGTGAGGCAACAGTGCTAACCACTGAGCCAATGTGCTGCTCTCAGTGCTGTTTTTTTAAATAGTATATTTTATAAAGAAGCTTGAAATATCTAAGCAACATTTACATTTAGCAGACATTTTCATCCAAATGACTTACTTAGCACTTCAGATCACCACAGAGAAGCAATATATAAATTCGATGAAAAGTCTAAGTTAGTTTTTTCCCCTCCTCTTTGCACATTAAAAGAAAAGATTGGTCCTACAGTTGGTTTTTCAAGTCCACTCACCTACTTGAAGCACACTCAGATTTTCTCAATGTTTACCACGGATCATGCTGTGTCTGGTGCATATGGAGAGTATGAACATGTATCAAATTATTAGCAAACATCCCAGCATCACCATGCTCCTGTGAGCAGTGTTTAGATGAATATTTAAATATATCCTGCACATTTTCATCTTAAAAAAGTAAATATATATATGATGTGGAGAATATAATGAGTGGAGAAAACGGCAGTTAAAAAAGCATCTCATCATAGCAATGTGGACGATTTCAGAGGCACTATATTTCAGCAACTCCAGTCAAGTAAAGTCAATCCCATGTACAAAGCAAGTTGCTTTACATGATAAACCACAAAAAAATCACTTTTAATTAATTACACTTCAGTTTCAAAAGCAGCTTTTCATTGTTAAAGATTTTACTTCTGACCTTGCCTGATTGAAGTGAGTTACTGAACTATAGAAAACGTCAGTGCTAAAGAGGGCGGAGGTCAGGGACTCACCCACTTATTACATCCTTACAACGGACCTTTGGCAAGCTATTTTAGGGTGCTTTCACACTTGGTTCAATTGCTTGGACCGAACCCAAGTTTGATTATCTCTCTGTCCCACCTTCTCAGATGGTTTGTGTTCATCTTTTTTTCTTTTGAACCTTGGTACACTTGCATCATCAAGCTGCTGTTTTGGGTACAGCTGTTTCTAAGTGATGGCCACGAAAGCAAGGTGCCAAAACGGAGACGTACACATATCACGGTCATTCTGCTGTTATTGAATCTTATAATAATCTTTAAAAAATACAGAGAGCCAGTTCCATCTATCTGCCGAAAAAAAACAAAACAAAACAAAACAAAACAAAACATTATAAACATTCAGAACATCACACGATGTCTGCAGAAGTAGTTTTTTGGTGGAGACAAGCAGACATTATCACTGTTTGCAGTGGGTCAGTCCCGCTTTTCACCAAGGTTGGTGATACACAGACATACACACACGAATGATTGTTATGAAAATGAAAGTTTGTTGTACAGTTGGCGGTTCACTTCCGTTACCTGGTATGACTGCATTCAGATCAGAATTGAACCATACCCCTGACCACCTCTTTCAGGCAGACTTGGGTATGGTTCACTGGTGCACACCCGAGTTCAGAAAACATGTTCACACTAGCTTAATGTTCTGTACTTTGACATCAAACAAACCTTGGTGCAGACCAAAAGTGCTAGAGTGAAAGCACCCTTAAAGTCCAAATAACGTTGTTTTGTCCTAATTTTGTTTGCAATTACTTTACACACTCTTCAAGTATATTATGTCCTTAATGCTAACAAATCAAAGATATTGTAAAGTAAGTGAGTGAACTGTGGAAACTTTTATTTAGATGCAAGTAAGGATATTCACACTGGGCTCACCTATCTGTATTGTGTGGGAAAAGTCCAGAGTAAGTCACTGACTTGGCTGGAGCCGAAGATGCTTTTTCTATAAGACAAACAGTGAGACATAATTTATAATAAAATCTCCTAATGTGTATAATATGAGTGACAGAGATTAGCTGAATTCTTCCTACCAGTAAGCCGTGGAGAACCCATGGTCCTGGCAGGAGTCGGAGCCCATGTTTTCACAGATGATACTGTAACCACAAGACCAACACACACATCTCAAGTAGATGACAGTAAATATGGTCATCTGTAGACTAATTCTCTGAAAGACCTATACCTGCATGAACAGGAGACTCTAGTTGAGGCTGGTTATCACTGGTGACCGGTGGACTGTTTGTCAGTGAGTCTGTAATGGCAGAAGGCGTTGCTTGCATTGGGCTACTGGGCGACTCAGGACTCTTCATAACTGTAGAGTCAGCTACTTTGGTGGTTGCTGTGATAGGCAGGTGTGGCATTGCCATGGGAACAGGGGCTGAGTGTTCGTGTAACACACCATTGGGTGGCGAGTTTCTCCTCAAAGGCACGATAGAGTTTTCTGATTGGATAAAAGATAGATTGTGGTAAATATGATAACAATAGAAAAGTTGTTTCCACATGTTACTTTCAAATTAAAGTGATTGGAAATGAAAGTGAAAGTGGATAAACTTAAAATGTTTTTGGTCCTGTTTACATTAGTATTTAGCATGGTCCATATGAAAATATATTGAAGAAGACGGCCCATAGAGTTCTGCTTATTATAAGTGCTGCAGTTTTGTTATAATTAAATGGTGGCTTCTAATTGGCTACTGATATTCTAATTGTTTTTCAGCAGGAAAATATCATTTTAAAAGTGATTGTGTCACGTCTGGCGTAAAGCAGGGAATAATTAAAGGTGCGGATCCAGATGCAGCCAAACAAACATTTATTTAAACAAACTTAAACAAAGCAAAGCAACAGAGAAATGCAGACATCATAGGAGCCACAAAAAACTAATGACAACGAAGTGCTAACAGAACAGGGTATAAATACACAAGGAAACAATTAACTAAACAAGCTGACAAGAGGGTGAAGACAATTAACTCAAAGGCTAACAAGATTAGGGGTAAACTAAGGTGAGCAGGAAGTGACATGAAAACACAGAACTTGTTAGTATTGTTATAGTTGTAATTACTGCAGTCTTATATAATTTGAATGATTGTGTATGTTGTTGAAAGTATATTGATTGTTGTGTAACATATCTACATACACATCTCAAATAACTTTTTACTCACATTTTAATTATCTACAAAATTGTCATCACATGTGTAGAGAGGAATTTATGCTTTCATATGGAAACTGGGTCCTCAAATCTTCAGTCCCAATGTTAATTAAATTGGGCAAATTGCGTTTCTTGCATCATAATTAGCCTTAAAGTTGGCAACACTTTATTTTAATGGTCCGTTTGGTGAATTTAAGTTGCATTGCATTTACATGCCAACTAATTCTTATTAGATTATAAGTAGGCTGTTAGGTTGGGGTTAGGTTTAGGGTTAGTGTAAGTTGACACATACTTGCAAAGTTTCTTATAGTCAGTTAAATGTCTTTTGAAGGAGCAGTATCAACAGATATTCAGTGCTTTGGAAAAGATTTGAGATTTGAACAGCTCTTAAAATAGATGACAACCTCTGTGCCCTCATTTAACTAGGGAGCTGATTGTAATGACGCACACACCCCATGAGTGGTGTCAAGAAGAAATTATGGTAATACCTGTTGATGATAAGTGCCCATTCTCCAAACCTTGGGGAATTGGTGCTGGATCCACTTCAATGGGCTCATCTCGCTCAATGCTCTGTTAGAAAAAAAAGAAGTAAAAATTTCTGTTAGTCCTTCAAAGAACTGTTATATGTGAAGGATTCTGTCAAAAAACAATTCTGAAAATATGGCTGGATCCATCTGCTCCTAATCTATCCTGGAAGCTCTATCTACTAGACATTATTAGTTTCGAATACACCACAGCTAAAATAAATGGTGCCACTAAACAAACTGTACAAATTTGATTAAACATGAGACCGTATTAGATATGTTTCAATCCTGATTTTATACCTGTTATTGTAGTATTACTGTTTTTATTTCATTTAACTTTTTTGTTGGGTAGATCTTGGGCTATTATTGCTATGAGCTATTATATGGCCAAAAATAATTTTGGATAAATAAATTTGGCTGGATTTTGATTTTACATTTGGATTTAAAGACACTCTAAATGTAAACTCTTATAAGCATAAGAAAAACATCACAATCTAAAATCAAGTGTGGGCCTGTTGATCCAAGGCCAGTGTTGGCCAGGAAAGGGCATTCTTGGGACTAGGTAAGGACTGCCCATGCAGGCCAATACTAATGGACCAACATTAAACCAATAATAAAATTGTTGCTGGAAGTCTGCTCTGGGCCTAATTGGGCTATCCCACTGTAGGCCTTCATGGGATTAATAATGTGGGCTAGTGTGGGGTACTCACATAGAGCCCAAAGTGAGCCCGCAGCTATGGGTCATACCTAGATTATCCCACACTGGGCTTGTTTAGATTTGTTTTGGATTTACCGTAGCCCACGGTGCCTGCAAAAAGCCAACATGGGCCATGCATGAGTATGTTTACTGGGAATATATCAACCCTTGATGCTCTTAAAAACAAACATCTACTACAAGCGGCCAAAACAAGGTAAGGAACACGAGACAACTAATTTAATTATTCAATCAGAGACATCAAAAGAGACAAAATGGTTCCGCAGGACACATTCTGCTCAAGTAAATGACTGATGTAATCTAATCAAAGACATCTGATTAATTGCTTCACTGTGAAATCCCTATGAATGCCAGTTTCAAGAATCCTAATCTTTTTACAACATAAATGAAAGTTCTGGATCAGGGCCAAAGTGGGTCAACAATACGGATATGTCTTCATCACTGATCTATCTATTTTCATTTTTAATAGCCACTTCTACCCTCATTGCACTCTTCTTTGTGACCGAAATGCAAGATCACATGTTGATATATTAGTGCCTTTAAGTTACACACTGACACATACGGGTCTCTGCCTTGCTTCATTTCCTGTAGACCTCAACCATCACATAGATGTACAGATACAGATGTTTGGCCTTGGCTGCAATGAGCTCATCATTATAAAAGCAGACTTGTAGTTTAACGCCTGGAAGCCAACCAGAAGAATGACTGTGCACATTTACTCGACTCTTCTGCTGTCATTAATTACCTGGCAGCTTATCAATGGGCTTTAAAAAGCTCCATTGTGTGTGGGCCGAATCTCTCTAGGACATGAATGCTAATGTGCTAAGCTAACAAATGTATCTTCATGCACAGGCAACATGGACAATCAGGAAAACATTGCATTTTTAAATCACTAAATCGCTTCCTCGAGAGATTTGAGAAGTAATTGGCATGGAGGAGGCCAATGACATCATATCTAAGGAATGCTGAAGGGGGAGCAGCTGCCTGTCCCATTGAGAGAAAAAGATAGGGGGAGAAAAAATTCACCCCAGCCATGAAACGTATCCAACTCTGATTTGCTGGCTAAACACGCAGGTTCTCAACTCATTCCAGTGATATGTTGGTGCACTGCGAATGTCTACCACTGGACTGTGTTATGCGTCAGTCTCTCTAGGGGATATCAGCAGACACGTGACTGCTTTGAGATAGACAATCTGTATTATATTGTTTTCTTGCACAGCCTGATTTTGGAAAAACATTGCCTGCAGCCACCAGGGCTTGTATCTGAAATTCCTCCCAAATGCATTAGTTCAAACACTATTTTGGCACAGAGGTCACCTGCTGCTTGGCCCCCGGGCTAAATTAAGAGGTGCAGGGGGGGGAATCTAACCACACCCATCTCACATGTTCACTGAACCGCATGCACTCACCCCAGTTGATCTTTTTTTTTCCTGCAGGAACAACACATTCCCTATCCCAGAGACTGCGTCATTGCATTAATAGAGAGGAGCAATAAAACAAGTGCAGGAAATAGGGAGCTGAGACAGAACATGTGGGAAAGGGCTGTAGTCTACAGCTAAAAACACATGATAATTGATTAATCTGTCAAACCAAATTGTGATTCAATGAATCATAAATATGATATTGAACATTTTGTATGCCGATGTTAGTCCCATTAATTTAGTGCAGTACAGACATGTAAACACCCTAATCAAACTATTATCGTCTTGTAGGATGGCGCAATGACTTTAATCAAATTATGTGCTATAACATGTAAAATGGCATCATGAAAGGGAATTCAAAAAGCAACTCATGTAAGTTACTCATGTAACTCATGTAATCATCAGATGAATCCAAACGCACAATAATATCCAGATTTCCTTACCTTAGTCATCTTCGCCTTAAAGAACCCCCCATCCACCCCTACTCATCCCCTCTTTCCTAGCCTAATCCAGGACAGGACGGCATGGTGGCTCAGTGGCTAGCACTGTTGCTTCACAGCAAGTACACCTCTGGTTTGAGTCCTGGATGGGCCAGTTTTTGTTTTTGTATTGAGTTCACATGTTCTTCCCATGCATGCGTGGGTTACCCCCGGGTTCTCCGGTTTCCTCCCACAGTCCAAAGTCATGCAGTATAAGTGAATTGAATAAACCAAATTGTCACAATATATGAGTGTTTTAGTACTGGGCATTTACCGCATGACCATATACTGGTGTGGTTGGTGGTTCGTTCTGCCGTGGCGACCCCTGGTGGTCAAGGAATAGGCTGAGCAAAAAAATTTGGGGACGCACTTGAGACCTACCTGAGCTCGGACTCCCCTCTCTACCGATGAAAAAGGAGGGAGCCCTAGGCTCAAGGATCTTACCCCGCTGGACAGCATGCCAAATATGTTGTATTATAAACCATCAGCTAAGTGTGATCTCTTGAAATGTACAAACTGGATGCATTGAAAAGGATTGTCTCAAGGAAATAATTCACTCATAAATTGAACATGTTCAACGGGTCTCAGATCAACTGTTGCAAAAGAATCAGTTGAATTTATGGATGAAGGAATGAAATCTATTTGTGAACTGGTTAAACTGATTCGTTGAAAGGAATAACATTCACAAATCAGGCATTGAGACCAGGTCTCGGACCAATTATTAAATCACCAACTTGATAACTGATGCAATGTGATTCACAAAAAAGGTTTAGTTTATGATTATCACATTGATTTGATTCCTTGACAACTCACTGAATCTTCTAACATTGATGATCGAGAATGAATCTTTCGATGCTATTGCTGTAAACTGGTTCAACAAGTTCATTGAAAAGACTATTTTCATAATCAATTATCATCAACACAACCATTTAGTTCTTCAGCCCAAGTCCCCTATCCACACAAAAGAGATGGGGAAAAGTACTACACAGTCCATCCTTTTGTCCTGAGGGAGGGCCACACTTCTCCTGTACACGCTGTTCCTTCATACCGAGGACACTCAAAGACAATGAGAGTGGAGAGAAGAGCAGCGTCGCCTCTCCAACTATTCACAACAGACCACCAGACGACTGAATGAAGCCCCTTCAGAGACACAGTAATCACTCCTGCAGGTGAGAAGACAAGAAAGGCCCTTGAGGAGTCCTCAGTCTATTCAGTCTGTCCTACAACAGGCATATATAAATGCCGAATGCCTCCAAATGCATTTACTATGTACAGTCCGCTCAGACAATGGACTCCACTCACAGAAAACCTTTCATGTGAGTCTAAATGTCCCTCTACAGCAAAATAAGAATTTCCCCAGTGCGCTGGCAGCCTGCCTGAGCAATGCTGGGGTGCATATAAAAATATTTTTTTCCGAGGATAATCACAAGGTTGTATTGTACATAATCTCTGAGTGATTTGACGGTGAGTGAAATTGGAGCGTGGCGGCTTGAGCATTGTTGAGAGCTGCTCCGTATATGATCAGAGAGATGAATGCAAGTTTTGATAAATCGCTATGTGTGCACGTCTGATTTTAAACATATCTGAGGGGATATTCTTGTCTCTCAGTGACATTTGAGATTCTTGGAACATTGTGGTGGCGGGGGATTGGAATGGAACCCAAGCAACAATAGAGGGCATGTTTGTGGGAGAACTCTAGAGGGTTTGGTGGGCTAATTCCAGCTCCTGTCTCTCAAATCATACAGATAGCCAGCTCTTACAAGGCCCTCTCTGATATTAATAAGCCACGCTGATAATGTTATTTATATTCTGCAATGTACAAATAGCTGAGCTCTCTTTGGAAGCAAGAGGGTTGGCTTGAATGTGTTGTTTGAAAAGCAAATTAGTCTTTTGTGACTGAAACGTTTGCCCCCCAATTTGGCCGACAATAATATAAGGGTTATTTTCCTGCTGTTTGAAAGTCTGTAAAGTTGGTACAGACAAGGAAGGGATGCCTGGTTTGTGAGGGTCTTTGCTCTGTAATTTCCTTCACAAACTCGAGAGTTATAGTGAAAGAGGCCCAAACACCTGTTTTTAAAAGCACGGCAAAGCCTGCAATTTCTCAGAAGCAGGATTGGAAAGAAAACCTGTGCAGATAAACAGAGTGAACTACAAAAATTCCTCCTGATTTCTCAGGGAGTTGGGTGTGCTTCGTTTTCACTCCAACATACAGTACTCACAAATGTACACTGTAAAATAGCTTATGAATGATGTCCTCCAGGCCATATAAATTCAAGCCCTGGAACTGACCCTCTGATTTAATTTCGATGTTATAACCTAATGCAGTCAAGTTGATTCAGTCATATTACATTTAAGGTAAAGTCGAGTCTGACATTATTATGAATTATTAGGAGTGTACATGCTCGAGCTCACAGGATCAGATTACTCCAAA